AAAAAATGCTAAAGTTTCTTGCCATGTGTTAATTATCGCCAGTGAGTTAACAAAATCCATTATTGAGATTCAGAAGTAAATTACTTTAAAATATTCAATATTATATTGTGAATTTATGTGATTATCTTTCCATCTCCTTTAAGAGTAAAACTATATAACTATTTTCCTCTGACAGTAAAATTCCAACTCATATGCATAATTCTTTTTCACCCACTTGCTATTATACGTTTATCACTTCCTCTTCTGAGCATCAATATAAACTGGGCAGACGACGCCTCTCATCCTAGACTTGCTTCACTCCACATCTGATCTCAGCCTCAACATGTCACTGCTCTCTTATTTACTGCTGGCAGCTACTGCAGCCTGCTGCTTCACAACCCTCTTTGGTAAGAGTATAGAAATGTATTTTATTTTTGTATTTTAGTGGTGCAGCATTCTGTGTGGTCAATATTATGTGGTGTTTTTATACAAAGATGTCTGTACAAACCAAGTGCTTTCGAAGTTTAAAAGGTGGATCTGTTAAAGGGTAAAATGTGCTATAATTTACTGCAGGTTAATTATGCACTCAACTGTTGTCCTAATTATTTTTTAACATACTAGCCATTTATTCGGTCTTTTTTTATTTCTGATAGAATGGTTACAGCATGTCATTCTAACTGTATCTACATGGCTTCTTTCAGCATTGCCAATGGATGGTGTTGTTGCCAACAGCAACTGTCAGTGTGTGACCACCACCTCATCCATAATCCCAGCTCGGCTGTTCCAGAGGATTGAGATCCTGCCTCCGGGAGCACACTGTCGCAAAACTGAGATCTTGTGAGTCATGATGTTTTGCTTCTACTCATCGGTGGCACACACACTTCAATCACAGACATGAGGGAAATGTGCAAGGGGGTGCATGTTTCCTCTGTTCTGACAAACCTCAGCGCTCTCGAAAATAGGTTACATTTTTCATTCATTTGCCCACGCAGCTCTCAGACAAATGTCACTTATTGCCCATACATTTGTGTAAGACAGGCAAATATTGTTGCATATATTTATTAAATCGTTTTAAATTCCTCAGGATTACCAAAAAGGACAACAAAACAGTTTGCATAGACCCTGAAGCACAATGGATCAACAAAGTCCTCACAAGAGTAATGAGGTAGGGTTTAAGTCTTAACTCCCAAAAACAAGACTGTCTAAGCTAGAATTGACCTTTTGTTTTATCTTTCTTTGCATTGTCTAATGGTCGTCTTTTGTTTCTTTTTCCTACTTTACAGCAAAAGAAGTGCAAAGGAAAGTGCCGAGACCACTGCGGCATAAATCAAAGCGGACAAGAACAACTGCGATAAAGACATTTTCCACTTCCTACTTTTCAACTATTCCTTTTCGTTAAACAGGCAACTCAAGTGTGCTGAATGTTATCAGGCCATATTTACGTAGTCACAAATTTGTTATCGTAGGCTGTCTACAAAATCTGTAATTATTATTTTGAAATAAAACTCACAACCTTCTTCCTTTAAAATGACATCTTTATTGCCTTTAAGGTGGGAGACTAGAATTTCTTGTTTTACAAATGGGCCACATGTAGCACCATTTTCATTTGCAAACAGAAAGTTTTTTTCCCCAATATAATCATCACCATATATGTTCATAGACTAAACAAGATTTACAAAATGTGTATTCCTCAGCGGAGGAGAAACTGCCTGAAAAAAACTCCCAAAGTCAATGAGAAAAATCCAGTGATTAAGTCATCATCTCATTGGGAAAATGCTCTTTTTTGGATATTCTAATCATTGTGTCTCAAGGTTCTTAGCAAAACAATACTTTACATTATCTTACAATCATGCAAGTCCTTCATTAATTAGAATTTCTTAATCAAGACTGACCTCAAACCCCGGTGCCATAATCCATATTCAATGAAAGACTACTGCTATTTTCCACATGCTTTTATTACTAGTTTAAAAATACTGCATGTTCATCAATCTGGATTAAAATAGCTGGCCATTCAGACCCTTTGCCATGAAGAAATATGTTCAGCTTGTTCAGTGGGACTTTCTGTAAGGAGAACACATGTATCCACCAGAAAACAAAACTACTGCTACCACTAAACCAGGGAAACAATGTTGATTGCAAATTGACTTGCTTACAGTTATAAAAACATTATAACTGTATCACGGCCACTTAAGTAGTCACCATGTCTCTCTGGTGAAGAGAAGAGATGGACAGATGAATGGATGAGTGGATGGAAGGGTGCAGGGATGGATGCTGGTGCTGGCTCACTCTGTAAGCGTCTTGCTTTCACAGGCAGTACTGCTGTAGAAAAGATGGTTCAGACTAGGCACAGTTTGATCAAAGAGGAATGCTCTACTTATCAATTTCTGCAAAAGTGACAAAAAGTGAAAGCACTGATGCTCAAGTGTTCCACTTTTAGAAATGATGCAATGTCAAATTTGCACAGCATTTCCTGATTAAATACTTTGTTAAATAAATGCTTCGGTTTTGCTGACTAAAAATCTCAAATGTGAAGGTGTTGCACGTATCCAAACCAAATATGTCAGTAAATTGAACAGGGATGGGAGTTAATCAGTGTGGTTATTGTTTATTTTCTGAAGTCTGATGGCAGTAAGTGATAAGTAGCATGCAGCACACATAGTCCAACACTAATTAGTCCACTTCAGCACCTCTGAGCTTCCTTTTGAAACGTATTACTCACACCAGCTCAACACAGAACAAGGCACAGTCTGCTGAAGCATGTTAGGGAAGTTATAGCTTTGTACAAAGAAGACATTAAGTGAGCCTGGATGTGTCGAATAGACAAATACGATCAACAACCTACGCTCCTCACAGGTTAAACATCACAAAATGCTCCAGGATTTTAACTCAAGACCTTGCTTTATACATTTTGATGATTGCTATTTTTTAGTTTATAAAAGTCTGAATTCATGCAGGGAAATGTTCTCACAGTAGTCATGTGACAGACAACACTAATGCCACTGACATCAAATAAATGCTTTAGAAAATGTAATAGTTTGCCCAAATTCATTCAGTTTAAGACTATAAATACACTACACAACTTTTACCACGGTTTGCACTCTTGACAAGTTGACACTAGATGCCTAAAGTCTGAGCAAATGCAGATTTGAGGTGACAGATTTCACAGAAAATCACAGTGTATATGATGGGCACAGACTTTTTTCTTTTTTAGCTTCGTACTATGAACTATGTCCAGTCGGACAACATCAAAAATGTCTGATATGATTTTACAACGCATATTGCTTTAACTGGTTATTTGTCTCCTAGCAATGACAGATATGTTTCTGTGTTAGTTTGCTGTGTTCGGAACAATACATAAATTCAGATTTTCAACGTTGTGTTTTAGCTTGCCGACCTTGAAAACCATAAATATGTAGATATAACAGTGAGAACAGCCTTTAACTACAGAAACGCTCTCGAATCGTATAGTTGTGCCAAACAAATAAAATGAAAGAATCATGTCACTTTTCTCTTCTCCAACAAATCACAAAATGACATTTATAAATTAACATTCATCCTGTACCGATGCAGCTGACAAGCCATTAGCATTGAAACAAATGTGAAACAGGACTAAGCTGAATTAGCCTGAGTTAAAGGGATAGTTCACCCAAAAATGAAAACTGTTCCACAGAAGAAACAAAGTCATACAGGTTTGGAACACCATGAGGGTGAGTAAAATATGACAGTATTTTCATTTTTGGGCAAACTATGCCTTAAACCCCTAGGTAGTCTTCTGTAGCAATTATAAATTGTACCAATAACGTCAACCATCTACCAATCAGAGATTCTCGCTGACATCATGAGATCACGGAGGCAGGGAGGACTTGTATTGTGTAAATATACATCAGTACGGTGATGTGATTTAGATGCTGATGCAAGCAGCAAGAGAAAACCGCACAGCTGGGTTATAATCAGTAGGGCTGGGATCCTCTTTAATAGTGTACATTTTTGACCAAAAGACAAGTTTGCATAATACTTTACATTGCACTATTAAGAATTTTCAATTAAAAATAGATTGCCGAAAATTCCTACCTCGCCGCAGTTTCAGTTCATAACCTTAATGCAAATCCATCCTCCGATAACATCCTGCACAGGATGCAGTAACTAATATTTGATTGCATAATAAAGAGACAAATGGGGTTTTATTGTACTGGGAAATTCACAGATTTAAATGCTGTCATAATGATTTCTTGTCAAATTTATGAGATGCTGAAGGGGAATTTAAAAGAGGATGCTAAATGAAACATCTTTTTTGTAATACTCTTTCTGACATTGTTATGCTACATGATCTGTCTTCGCTTAAGTTACACATTTCTACCATCCAAATACTGATACATGGCTTACACAATCTCACATTTAGACTCAGACAAACAGATCGATATCCCTGAAAGCAGCGTTTGTTTGGTACCAAACAGAGAATCCCAACCCTAATTTGGTATTAAGCTTTTGTTTTCATGTTGGAAAACGTAATAAGATCATATAATCGTGTGCAAAGGTTAAAAAAAAGGAACAAAGTAGGCGAGTACTTCACTCCTTAATGTGTGTGCCTATATTTGAAGGAGTTCATCATTCGTCCATGGTTTGGGGAAGGGGGGCTGCACTACCTGTGGACTGGCAGATGCAGCCCGTTGAGGGGGGGTAAAGGCGGGTGGTACTCCAGCTGAGCCAGAAGGGAAAAGTGATCGGAGGGGATGTGCGGGTGGGGGCAGCCAGTTATGTTGTTGTCCTTCAGCCACTGAGTCTCCAGTGGACCCAGAACGCCCAGAACACGCATGTGTGTCTTAGAGAAGAAGATGTAGTCAATCACGCCCTACAAAAAAGGAGAAAGCAGGTTTCAAAAATGGGTAAAAAAAAAAACAAAGATAAATAAAAATCTGTGACAATAATATAAAATTAGGAGCCAGCAGCTCCTAGTGCACTGGTTTCAGTGCAATACAATAACAAAGCAAATCACAATTCACTAAAACCGTGAAACCTAAATATATCTGAATTATGTATCTCCTCACCTTGAAGTCATAAGTGTAGTTGGTGTAGGGCATGAGATTCCCCTCGTAGGCACTCTTCAGCTGGAAACTGTGCGTGATACTGCCATCGGGCTTGCCATTTTTGCCGTTGCAACTGAAGTTGGTTAAGCAATCGCTGTAACGCAGTTCCTTAAAGTCTTTGTGATTTTCTGCAACTCCACCATTACTTAGATACTCCACCACACCTGTGAAAGGCCAGGAAACCTAGTAATGCTGAGACAAGAGCTTCATGCCGAATCTAAATTTTATGTCCATATTTCTCTTAGGAATGACATTAAAGGGGTCATATGATGCGATTTCAATTTTTCCTTTCTCTTTGGAGTGTTACAAGCTCTTGGTGCATAAAGAAGATCTGTAAAGTTGCAAAGACTAAAGTCTCAAATCCAAAGAGATATTCTTTATAAAGGTTAAGAGTCAGCCACGCCTACCTAAAACGGCTCGTTCTAACACACCCCCACATGTCTACGTCACGATGTGGGAAGATTTGCATAACGCCGCCCAAATGTTCACGCAAAGAAAGAAGGCGTAACTTTTATTCTCGCTGTAGTATTGTTGCCGCCGCCGCCATGTCGTGAAGACGCTGTGTGCTTCGTTGTGAAAGCGAAACTACTTTGTTTGGCCTTCCAAAAGAGGACGATATCGCTTCGTCATGCCTGGAGCTGATCCGTGCTGGTTGCTGAGGAAATACAACAACTTTGCGCTGTGGATAGCCGGATCGGCTTTCACCGTGGATGAAGTGGAGTCCAGTCCGGGGTCGTCACATGTGGTTGCCACAAGCCCTTCGGACACTCCTTTGTCGAATCCGCCTGCCGCGCTGTTCTCAAGCCCACCGGCCTCCGCTCACTCTAGCCCTCCGGCCGTTCCTCACGCTAGCCCCCGGCCTCTGCTCACTCTAGGCCGTCGTGTGTGACGCTGTGTTTCATTGTGTGACGCTGTGTTTCGTTGTGAAAGCAAAACTACTTTGTTTGGCCTTCCAAAAATGGACACGACTAGAAATCAGTGGTTAAGTTGTATTTACAACACTGTTCCAGAACACTTCAACCCTATGTGGAAAATAATGTGTTTTTTGAACCTTAAACCGCATAAACACATTTCATTACACCAAATACACAAAATAATGTTCTTTTTAGCAACATCATATGACCCCTTTAAAGAGTAATTCACCCCCCAAAATTAAAATTAGTTCGTCATTTACTCACCTTCATGCCATTCCAAACCTGTATGACTTTTTTTCTTCTGTGGAACATAAAAAGATATTTTGAGAAATGTCTCAGTGAGTTTTTGTCTATACAACGGAAGTCAAAGGTTACCTGCATTCTTTAAAATATCTTCTTTTGTGTTCCACAAAGTCATAGATATTTGAAACAACATGAGGGTCAGTAAATGATGACAGAATTTTCAATTTGGGATGAACCATCCCTTTAATATTGCAGCAGGTGGACATAGACACTTATCCTATTACAAGGAACGCAAAGGCAACTGCCAGCCATCCACTTCATGGGCGCTATATTACGGCTTGCTTACGTGGACTTCTTGAACTCATCTTAGTTGGAATTTACACAATATAGATTGCCCAAGTGAGTTCCCCATTCCCTCTAACTATTTATCTTCAATAAGCAATTCCAGACATCACTTACCAGAGTCTGGGAGGGAGTTGAGGTCAGCGCACAGGACTATAGGGATGGTGCTGGTGTCTGACGTGGGTGATGCAGAGTTGATGGAGCCCGATGCCCTCTCAGTGATGCTCTTTAGCTCAGACAGGAACATCATGGTCTGGATGAG